GGGGGCACGGGCTGCCCCAGCTCATGCTCACTGTCTGCCACCAGCGCTGCCAACACCATGTTCGACATCGAGTGGCGCGGGCGGCGGGTGGCCCTGCGCGCCAGCAATGGCCGGTATGTCTGCCCCAAGAAGAATGGGCAACTGGCGGCTGTCAGCGACACTGTGGGTAAGTGCCTGGGGTGGGTGGGGGGGGTCCCAGCGTTGCCCTCCCCACCCCAGCCCGCGGTGCTCAAGGCCGGGCTCCCGTGCAGGGGAGGATGAGGAGTTCACCCTGAAGCTGATCAACCGCCCCATGCTGGTGCTGCGGGGCGAGCACGGCTTCGTCTGTTACCACCGTGGCTCCAACCTGCTCGATTCCAACCGCTCCGTCTACGATGTCTTCCACACCAGCTTTAGTGATGGCGCCTACCAGATCCAAGGTGGGTGATGGGGTGGGGGGCTACTAGGGTGGGGGGCTACTGGGAGTCCAGCCAGACCCCACTGACTGCCCCCGGTGACTCTCCGCAGGCCAGGGGGGCAAGTTCTGGTACGTGGCAAGCAGCGGGTCGGTGTGCAGCGATGGGGAACTCTCTGAGGATTTCTTCTTCGAGTTCCGGGAGCGGGGACGCGTGGCCATCAAAGGGAAGAACGGCCGGTACCTGCGCGGGGACCCAGCCGGCACCCTGCGGGCTGACAGCGAGTCCGTGCTGCGGGCCACGCTCTGGGAATACTGACCTGCCTGGCACCGGCAGGCATCCCCCGCCACAGCATCCCCCAGCCCGCCCCGCTCCCAGGCTGGCTGGGGATGCTAGCTCGTTCCCAGGCAAAGGATGGCGGTGGAGCCGGCGCTGGCACCATCCACAGCAGCTGTGTCCCCGACCCCCTCGACTCATGGCATTAAAGTCAGTCTGGATCACACCGGGGCATCGCCTCATCTTCCTTGGCCTCCTGCAGCGCTCAAGATCCACCCCCATCCCTCCCCCCATGCCCAGCCCAGCGCCCACAACCCCAGATGGAGACTGGTGAGCCGTGGGACCCCCCCCACCCGCCATGGCACCCCGGCCCTGCCGCTGCTCTGGGACACAGGGACCCCCCCAGGCTGCCACAGGCAGAGCTGCCAGGAGGTGGTCGCAGGGTCCGGGGGTGCCGCAGGGGCAGCTGGCGATGAGGCTCGGCCAAGCAAACCTGCTGTGGGCAGGACCCCAAGGGGCTGCGCAGGGAGCTGGAGCCCGGAGGGGCTGGGATGCCCATGGACCCTCTGCCAGGCTGGAGGAGCCTGGCAAGAGGGCTGGGGGGGGTGGGCAACGGTGGCAGCCCCCCAGGGAGCTGGCAGGGCCCTGCTGGGAGATGGAAAGGAAAAGAGACGGGCACTTGCTGAGCGGCACGATCGTTTTCATGGCAGACGACAGATTTACAGACACTGGAGCGGTGCGGGGAAGGACTGGGCCAAAACACGCTGCACCACCACAGAAATACAAGATCATTTATAGAAACAACGGGGGAGTGGAAAACCCCCTCCCCTGCCCAGCAGAAAACGGGGCTCCCCCGGGCAGGTGCCCGCTGGGCACCCTGGCACAGCACCCTGTTTGTCCTGATCCTGAAAGTCAAGGCGGCACGGGGGCACAGCCCACAGCCGGCATGGCACGGCGGCCGCCGGGAGAGCACTAAACTACCACGGCTAGAACGATCCACAAGACAGCACGACCCCGGGGGCTGCCCGCCGGCGTGGCCGGGCTGGGGGGCGGCAGGGTCAGGCCGGGCCAGCCCAGAAGCCCCCGCTCTGCCGCTGGAACCCCACGACCCTCCGGTGCTGCCGACAACACGACCACAAAAACACGCCCACCCACACCCCCCCCCCCCCCCTCAACCCGGACCACCGCCGCGGCCTCCCTGCCCTCGCCACCAGCCCTCCCACCCGGGCCCACTCCTCCTCTGGCGGGGGGGGGTCTCTCCCCACCGCTGGCCCGGTGGGCACCCACCCCGGCCGGCGGGGCTCGGGGTCCCCGGGGTGCGCTGGCCACCCCCCTGCTCACAGGAGAACAAGGCTGGGGTTGCGCAGCTGCCTGTAGACGTGCAGGAGCTTCTCTGCTGTTGCGTCTCCCTCCTCGCCGAGGGGCGGCCGGTCGCGTAGGGTCTGCGCTTCCTTCAGCAGCATCTGCACAAGGGAGACGGAGCTTGAGAGACACACGTCGGTTCGGGGCTGTGGCGGGGTGGGTGGGGGGTGTCCTAACGGTGGACCCCATGGGGAGGGTACAGGGGTATGGCAGGTCCTCACCTCGTGGTTGGCCTGGATCTGGCGCAGGTACTGCATGCGGAGGTCGGGGGGGCCCGAGCCCTGCGCCGCCTGCTCCAGCACCAGCGCCTGCGGGGAGTGGAGAGCTCTGCCGGGACAGGCGCCGAGAGAGCCGGCTGCGGCAGCACCCAGCCCTGGGGAGCCCCAGCCGCGGCACCGGGCAGGAGGCAGTTCTCCACCTGGCAGCCGCGCTTCCCTGCTCTCCCCAGGCCTCGTGCCGGTGCCGAAGCACCTCTGGGAAGGCTGCCAGCCCCCACGTGCCGCGGGGGCCCCTGCTCTGTTTAGCTGCCAAACTGACTGGGGCCCATTCCTGGGGCAGAGAGCAGACACCTCTCCCAGGGCTCCATGGCCCAAACGCCCAGAGCTGAGGTTTGGGGCTCAGAAAGGGAGTGGGGTCCGCCATGGTCCCGCTCCCCAGCCATGCCGGGCTGGTCTGCCACACGGTGGTGCCAGAGAAGTCCTCCCAGCGAGCCCGGCTGTGCCCCCAGGCTTTGGCCCTAGGCCTTTGGCTTGCTTAGGGTTCCCCCTGTCCCCCCCAGGGTCACGTCTGCTGGGGCCAGCGGCACAACCCCGCGGCGACAGCCGAGCATACCTGGATGCGCCGGATGACGGCGTGGTGCATCCTGCACATGTCAGCCAGGGACGGGCTCTCCATCAGGATTTCCACGGCCTGGATGGGACCCGCTGGGCTGAGGTCGTTCATGGCCACCTGGGACAGCGAGTACATCCTCACTGCAATCATCGCTGGGCAGGGGAGGGGGCGAGGGCAGCTCCAGGACCTCTCCCCATGGGCACAGAGCTCCCCGAGAGGCTCTCCTCCTCCATCCCTACTCCCTGCACCCCCTCCCAACCCATTTGCTCTGCAGTCTGCTACGGGCAAATGCAGGAGAGACGCTGCCAGCCCAGCTGGGCACATCAGACCCCTTGCCCAGCCCCTCCAAGGGGCATTTGCCCCGGCCCGGCCCCGGTGGCCATCAGCTCACATCCACTCCTTCAGCCTCGGCCGGGAACAGCAGCTGAGGCATGTACCGCAGCCAGGAGAGTGGCCGCCGGTCTTGCCCGGTGCTGCTGGGGGCAAGTGGATGCCCGTTTGCTGCTGGAGGTGAGTGGATGCCAGTTCCCTGACGAGGCACAGGCTGCCACCCCAGTGGATTTAATCCGGCAGGCTTAGCCCAAGCAGAATTAACACTGTCACTAATCACATTGGCAATATTAGAGCTCTCAAGCGTGAATCAACCTGAGCCAGGTCATTGCCAGCATACAGGCGGCTGGGCCCCTCAGCACAGGGTCCACTAGCTGCAGCAGAAGAGCTGGGCAGCAATTAGTATTTTCCCTTTGCGCTTAGAGGGGGGTTTTCACGTTTAAGGGGGACGAGCTGCAGCAGATCAGATTTACACCCCAAATCCAGCCATGTTTTCGCCTCACTTTGCAGAGCCAGCAAAGCGCAGCTGGCCAAAGCAGCAGGGAAAGCCCATTTCTTCCAGAGCTGAACCCAACACCAGGCTGGGGCACAGCAAGTGCCTGGGGCTACTACATCTCAGCAGGGCTGGGCAAGAGATGGCCACGAACAGGAGCCACACCGCTCCAGTGGAAATGCAGTGGAAAAAGACAAGGATCCTGCAGGCCAGTGAAAGGATGGTGAGGGGACATCTGCCCTCACAAAGCCAGCCTGCCGTGCAGAAACACGGCAGCAACCCACTGCCCTGCCTGGCAGGGAAATGAGAACATCTGGGGGACACATACTCGCCCAGAGAGGGAGGGAAGCGGCCACAGCCTTTGGAAAGTGCCGGGTTGGGAGAAGGGGGACTGGCAACGCAGCCTGTCCAGCCAAGCACACAAGCCCCAGCCCCACAGCGTAGCAGCCAGCAGGCTCCCAGGCGTCCGGACCCACAGATGACAGCCTGGGGTCAGCACGGCAAGGCCATACATCACCCAGCTCCCTGGCACGAGTGAGGGGCTGCGGGACGGAGCCAGCTTCGTGGGATGGGGGCGCAGGGAATTTCTCTGCGGGGCTAATCCATTCCTTGCCTCTCGGACAAGCAGCTGCACCTCGCCTCCATCCGGCGCTGCGCCGCGCACTGATGCCACCTCCCTGCTGCTCAGCGCCTCGGCCCCAGCGTTCTCAGCCAGCAGCCAGCGCAGCGTGGCACAGCTCAGCGAGACATCTGGGGATGAAAGGAGAGAAAGCAGAGCTTGTTACGCTGCTGAATGCCCTCCCTGCGGCTCAGCAGCCCTGCTCAGTCCGGAGCGATGCAGCCAGTGCAGGAGGGAGCGGCGTGTGCCTGGTGCAGCCCCTGTGAGGCCAAGACTGATGCAGGGGCTGTTGCCCTCCCTGCTGAGACAAACTGAGCTTGGTCATGTAACTGCCACAGCATCCACGTGTCAGCCCACGAGCAGACACGTGCTGAGGGGGTGACTGCACGGGGTCACGCAGCCCTCCTCACCCAAGGAAGGGGCTGGTGACCATCCCAGCCTGCACGCACAGGCTGTGACAGTGCCATCCTGGCCTCTCCCGAGATGGCCACAAGCCAGGATGCAAATACCTCTGCCCAAGGAGATACCCCAGGAGTTCCTGGGATGCTCCTCTCCTGGGACCCACCTGAGCCAGAGGTTTTCAGCGCATTTTTCAGCAGCTCCGAGGACACCCTGATGGACGCTGCCGAAGGGGGCAGGTTTCCCTCTCCTGAGGTGTGCGGCAGCTCGCTGGCTTTCACCCCCTCAGGCTCGGTCTGCTCCTGGGATACTTTGAGGAAGGTCTCCACAGGGTCTGGGGGGGCAGGGGGGGCAGCTGCCGGTGGGGAGGCATCTGGCCCGGGGGGGCTACTCTCGAAACGGAGGCACTGGAGCATGTCAATGGTGCATTCGCTGAGGGGCAGGCAGATCCCCTCTCTGTCTGGGGAGAGGATGGGTGAGTCGTCGGGCAGGAGGTCATCCAGGGCCTCGGAGGAGTCGGAGCCGCTGCCCAAAATATCCCGTAAACTGTAGTAGAGGGCACAGGAGATGGTCAGAGGCAGGTCCAGCTTGGTGTCTGCAGCAGAGCCGAGGGGCAGCGTCAGCTCCCTCTTGTTCCCAGGGAGGAGCTGGTCAATGGGGAAGGTGAAGGTGGTGGCAGAATCCACGGACTCCTCTTCTAAGGCACAGGGGCTGGCCAGGAGCTGAACACAGAGGGTCCAGCCCTCCTCCAGGCTGTACTCGCTGCAGTTCTCCAGCAGACAGGAGATGGTGACGGTATCTTGGAGCAGGAGGCAGCTCCAGTTGGCAGTGACAGTGCAAGCAATGGGCTTCTGGCCTTCTTGGCTGGACAGCAAAGCCGCGCTCACGTTCATCACCTGGTTCAGGCTGGCCAGGGCTCGGTTCTTCTGGTCCACTGCCTTCTTCAGGAAGGAAACTCTGCAAGGACAAAGCATCAGTGCTGAAATAGCAGGAAGGACGGCAGCTGGG